TTCCCAGCGAGAAGCATGTATTATAGCATTAAAATGACCCTAACTACTAATCTCCCTATCCAATTTCATTCTCTTTGCACTTTGAACCTCTGAAATGTTATTAGCCCGTTGATGGGACGACGAATCATGTTGATATGCACAGTTGGCTCCATGCCGACATCCCCTTGAACTGTTGAAGTAAATACACGGCTTCATTATCTTGGGCTTTGATTCTCTTGATTTCAGATTATTTACCATCTCCTGGTTTGCTCCCATCTGATGATTGTATCGGCCGCTGAATTGGTGGGACGGGTCTTGCCTGTCTCCCCCATGCTGCTGAATCAAGTTCTTGTAATAGTTCACGTCCTTCGCATGACGAATTCCAACAGGAGGTGGACATGGTCCTGGAACAACAGCCTGTGGAGGCACCCGAGTACTAGGGAGGGATCCCATTCCAATCCCATTTGATTGAGGGTAAAAAGCACCACTTGAGGTAGCAGCTACTGGGGGTGCACTGCTCTCTGTTCTGTGGATATTGATGGTAGGTGGATCTGATAAAGTTACATGAGACTGTGATTCTGACAAAGGTACAAAAGGTGAAGTTGTATTAGGTGCATTTTGTGCACTGGAAGCTGTTCCATAATCTGCAGCCAATTTTTCCAACAACTTTGGATTACTAAGAATCTTAATGAGCAATTCCTGGTCAATCAAGTTCCCATGCTCGTTGCTTTTTGTAATTGCGGTAAAGGCAGCAGATGCAGCAGCTGCTATGTCTGGTTCAACATTAGGGACTGTCGCTGCTGTAGGTATTTCAGTGCCAAGAGTATTTGGGATACCAGGCATGCTGCAGTGAAGAGAGGATGAAAATCCAGGAGCCATTACTGAGTGTGAACTCATGGGAATATTAGATGATACTGTAAAATCAGACAATGTCTCCATCATTGCATCTTCATCTTCAATGGGAGTAATGGGTATCAAAGGCGTTCGCTGGTCATTGTAATGTGAATTCTCTACTTCAACTGAAACAATAGGACTGCATATAGACAAAAGATGATTTTCACTTCAAGAGCCAAGATAGAAGTATGATAAATTTTTTAAAGAGAAAGTGGAGTATCAAACTTTGAAGGAATATCTGCAGATGGATAAAATGTTTCAAGCAATTTAATCTCTCGCTGATTTTGAACCTCCACCTCTTCGCTTTCCTCCCCAGCAACCACTTGCCAATCAGAGTTCAGCACAAACTGTAACAGAACTAAATTTAGCTTTCATACAAACATCAAGGGACAAACTAAAAATGATAATGAGAAGGCAATTATCAAAACTAAGGACCATAAAACTGTAACTCACTTTGGAAGGACATCTCCACTTCTTGACAGAGACTTCTGACAACTTAACTTGCAACTGGTTTACAGGATGGGCTCCTTCAAAGCCAGGAGGCAAAGCATCATCATTAGTTGAAGTTGACTGTGACAACCACGATGACTTTGCTTGAAGGTGATCTTGAGCATCCAACCCAACTTGTGAAGGAGATTCTTCTGGTAGGAATAGCTTTACCTGTCGATGAAAAAATATAAGATCGTTAAAATTTTATTATCTTAGACAAAAAACACAAAAGGGCTGGATCACCAGGCATAAAATGAAAATCAAAATTTAGGGAAAACCTAACACTAAACCAGGCAAAATGAAAGATTGTTCAACTTCATCATTCAAATATAAAATTTTTGTGAAATTCCTCTTTATACATCTTAATCTGTCAACCGCAACTGGAAAATATTAAAATTAACGAAAAATGTATATCAGAGTTAGTCCATGAAATACCACTGCGAGCCAAGTCATGGCATTTCACCGCAGAATGATAAAAATGAAAAGTGAAACACAATTCCACAAGGCCAATCTTTTATAAATATAAAATAATTCAGATTAAGCCAATATGCAGCTCAACTTTACACGTCACCTACAAACTTAGTTACAAGAGGCTAGAGATGCAACAATGGACTACAGAACAATCAGGTGAATGGTAATAGAATATTTGATCAATGTGGTCATGGATAAGATAAACTGATAAACTAAGCATGTGCTTCAAAATTGGCCACTGTGTCAACACAATATCAGCTAGCGCTCTCACCCCAATGGGTAAAGCTCCATAATCTTACTCTCAAGATTCCATTGACCAAATATGTAGTTAATATCCTCTTTGGAAGAACAAATTCTAGGCATCTGGTCTTCTTCAACAAAGCATTACACATCTTTAAACAAGAAATATCCCTCCTCCCTTCTGGTTCAGGATTATCATGGGCACAGGACTTCATTATCATCAAATGCTCATCAATCCTCATGAAGTCTTATCATTTGGTCCTTTCATAAGATTGTCCAACTAATTTCAAATACTCCTATCAAACCTGTGGCAATTATGTAGAGGCACCATCTAGCAGTGGGTTAGGCTCAAGCACTAATAATGCCATAGCCATATAATTGCTAACTTTTTTAGTAGTAGGAAGGCCTCATTTTCAGTCAGCAGTCCCATGTCAGTTAAAACTGAAGCTGAAACTGCTCAAGATAACCTCTGCTTGAGTCCAATTTCTTCCCATCCAACCCATAAGAAGGCAATAAGTAACTCATATTAAATCAAAATTTGGGATCCTAAGAGATCGTGCACTTTAGTGACTCTGCTAAATAGCTAGCCAACATGGACACCATTACTTCTCGTTCTGTTTCTATTACATGCATACTGATGAATTTGTAGAACTTGACAATGAAGATATTAGAGGTCGGCTCTTGTATGTTGAATGGAGTGGTACTCTTGGACTTATCTCCTTTTTGAATATCAAGAAAGAGAAGAAAAAGAAAAAAAAAAGAATTTTAGATGCTACAACAAGAAACCATACACATTTATGCCAACAAATAACATGTTTACCATGGGCTCCAACAACTGTCAGAATAATTAGGAACCTTCTTATTCTTGTATGATGTAATATCTTTTCCATATTACATTTCATAATTAAACTGATCCTGAAGACATTAGTTTGTGAAATAGAGCTCACTTTAAAGCAAATTTCTACATCTTTTGTTCCATGAGAACTATCAAAAAGTTACTGAATGCAGCTACTGACCATATCTTCTATGCAACCTCAGGAGACAAATGGAAAACTTGAAACAAATTATTAACTTAAAATCATCCTTCTTTCCACGCAATTTTCTTTTGAAATAATTTCCAAACAACTCTACACTTTCTTACATTAATTTGGAGTCTTTTATAACTAGGATAAACGGTTTATCACATAAGTGCTCAAAATTAGGGCTAACATTCTCCTTTACAAGGAAAAGGTTGAAGGCAAAAAATTGAAGACATTCCACACAGATGAATGGTTCTAATAATGTATTTTGATAAATTGAAGTAATAATTCATTTTGATAAAGCCAACTAAAGAAGCCCCATGCAACAACCACAGCAACTTAGTTTTACGGTTAGTTTGACTCCAAATACACAAAAAACCTATTTTCATACATGGGTAAAGTGCTACTGACTAAAACTGAACCCCCTTTGCACCTTCTTGTAGCAGCTTCTGGAACCAAATTTTGGTAAAATGTCAAGAAGAAAAGCTTCTAGAAAAGGCAATGCATGAAACAACTTAAATCAAGTGGCTATTAAACCTTTTCAAAACTTCAAATTCCACACCAACACCAATCCAAAATGAATTTTTCATAATTTTACTTCTGAAAAGAGAAGCAAGCAAATGATATTTATGGTCTAGACTTCATACACCAAGATAACTTACTAGACTCTATTGACAGTGATATAGAATTTAAATAATAATAAAATAAAAAGTAATATAGTTAAAACACAATAATCTGTAAAATAATCCAAAATCAGGGATTTCTATGTTTGATAAATTTTCCATATGATATGGACTTCCATTATCAACATTAAAACCTCATAAGTGATTCGTCTTTTTGAATCATAGAAAACAAAGTAGGATGCTAACCGATTGTATCTACCCCAACTGAAAAAACCTACCTGCTACAAAAAGTTTCTTTTGCCGTAATTTGCTGAAATAAAATCTAATTTAGTCAGTATATACCCACCAACAAACTAACGATTTAAGCCCTAAACTTACTAAATCAGACATTATTGGCTGCCACTAATAGCCCATAATACACCCACAAAATGATGAGCTCTATATTCTCAGTAAAATTTAAATTTGTGATCTTCGAGTAGAGTGTTAGCAGCTTACCCGCTAAAACACCATGCTGGTATACCCACTAAATGAATTTATTCAAATGTAAATTGAAATTATTCTATATTTCACAATTTTCACAAATAACACTACTACTTTCAATAACTTATGAAATAACATTTCATAAGCCAGGCTCCTTATTCTGAAAACTTTTAGCCAGCTTCAAGTTTATTTCTTCACCATTCTGCTATATTCCATGCATAAGTTAATTATGCCTCCCCATGTTCTTTCACTACTTCAATCACCTTGGTTTTGCATGTTTTTTTTGTTCCTGTGGCACCTTCAGCTAGAGAAGGAGAAAAAAACAACTTCTTATTAATACAATCTCATGGTCAGTTGCTTTGTACCTGGTGCGACAGCCAACTCCAATATTCTTTTCTGCATTTTCTTCCATTCATCACCATGTCCTTTTTCTTAGTTTAGGTCTGTTAAGATATAGTTTGATGATTTAACACAAATATATTTTCCATTCACACACAATTATCTTCTTCCCACATGTTCTTTTCCTTTGAATCCGAGCTGCAAAATAAGTAATCATACTTTTACTATGTCCCATGGCATTCAGCATCTCATCTTATATCCAGTCAACTTTTCTAGATATAAAAAGTTTCATTTCAGGGGCTACACATTCGCATAATTTTGCAATTTGTTGTTCTCTTGCATCTTATAACCAGTTCAAAGCAGAAAGAAAGCTGATATAAAATTCAAGGCATAGCTTCCATGTGCTTGAGCTATGTTTATTAACTGATTCAAAATATTTTTCAACACTGATTAAATATGAAGGAAATGTAGCTATTAAACAACCATTCAGAACCTCACCAAAACCAAATTTGGCTTTACGCCCGATGAAGTTGACAACAGTAATCACGTGCAGCGCAAGCATAGGCACATCAATGTATAAACTGGGAAGGAATTTTAGTGCTGAAGAAAAACCAAAGGCCCGAACATATTCTGCTTCAAACAAAGAATAGTTTACTATACTCTACGTTGGATTTGACAATATTACAAAATTTCTATTTGTACTTTAAACAAACTTCTTTTCCGGAATAGCTGTATGAGTTGGTGTGAGAGAATGTGGCATAGAACTTTGTCCATTCTGTTGTTAATGTGTAATATGGCATGATGACTAGATGACAAGTTTATGTTAGCCTAATGCTATGGCATATCGAAATCCCCAAATCACAATCTCTATAAATAAAATGATGAATCACGTAACTTTCTCTTTAGTTTTTTTTTTTTTAATTAAGAAAACAAATTTACAAATGAATGCAACATTGTAAAGACTGAAATTATCTCAAGATACCAGTTAAAAATAACCTACAAGAAAGTCATCGAAGTATAAAAACCAAAATAATAATCCAAGACATGAGGACCATTCCCATCATTCCTCCAGCAACCGGTAAAAAGCCTCATGAAGAAATTGGGAAATGGATCAAAGGTACCAAACAACAGGGGTAAGCCTCAGGCAAGAGCAATGCCATGCATTCGACCCCCACACCTAGCTTCAAAATCAGGGTTCACATAGCAGTGCTTTCTAATTTTTGTCAAATTAATTTTGCTCTCTTGAGCTAAAATCAAGCAGAAAGTAACAAAATTGATCAACCTTGGAATGCATCCTTGGATACAATTGAGAAAACGTTATCAAAATTGCAACGTTTACCTGACGTAGGTTAACACCCGGTGCCCAAGAAACCCTTTTCGATTTGCGCAATCCTTTCATTTTGGCAGATGAGAGTAAAAACAATATTCTAAAAAAAACCGTTTTTTTGGAGCTTCGATTCGCAGAACATGTCCAGTATGAATTTCAGTTGGCCGATTTGTTTCAGTTCGATCAGAATAAAACTCCTAATGGTTTCTCTCGCTCGGTCTATCCAATTTGAATCCCTAGGTTGCGACCTCTAAATCCCAACTTAATACATTGTTTCGAGAACCCTAATCGGAGGGATTTTACAGGATTGAAGAGGAGATAACAAGAGAGTGATAGATAGATATACAAATCTATACATCCAGAGATGCCAGGGACCCTAGATCCTCTGGTTTTGGTTTGCCGTTTCGACTGGGATTTATTTTCTCGTCTTCTTTTTTCTTTTTCGTAATTTCCATCCTTCTTATACTGGTTTCGGTTTCTTTGTTGTATGGCGCGTGCATGAAGTCACGAGTTAGATAGTGAAGGAGTAGTTCCCACGCGCTGTGAATGAAGGTGGATTTGGATTTTAACGCGGAGATTCTGATAGTTGTTTTTCCCCCCCTCCCCACTGAAACTATGAAAGGACGGTGTCCTTGATGGAAATATGCAGCTTTTCTGCAGTCAAAAAACGTACACGCTCACCGCAGCTCTTCAGCGGTCTGCCACGTGTAACAAAATCTCATGGGCCGAACTATTATTTCGCCGTCAAGCCCATTCAGTCATTTATTTTACCTTAATACTAATTTACTCCAATTTTCTAAAAAATTAATTACACATTAAATAATTAGGAAATTTTTTTTATAAAAAAAAAAATATGACTATTTATTTTATTTTATTAAAATATACGTAATAGAATATTAATTAAAAAATGTAATTAGTCTTGGGCTGGAAATAAGCTTGTTCGTTGAGTTATCATAAATTATTTTTAATTTAGTAAGAATATATAAAGTTTGATTAACTACATTTTTCACGCAATTAACCACAGTCAAACAAATGAAATTAAATTTTATCACATTTATATAATTTACTATTAAACTGAAGATACTGAGGGAAGCCTGACAAATAGCCACAAAAGATTAAAGAATTGAATCACTAATTTATTACAAACACTCCCCAGTTATAAAAAAAAAAAAAAGGAAAATAAACAAAGAATTATTACAAGATCTTTGTGCTTGGTAGAAGCATCGAGTTACTATCAGATAAACATCACATCTTTTCCAGAAACTTAATATCACCAGCAAAAAAATTGTCAGAATAACACACACAACATCGCTCTCAGGAAAATGCAACATAATAAAATTGCACCTTACTCGGTTATATTTATATATCTCTTCTCTGCAACTGGCCACGCCATGTCGACATCAACTAATTCGTCATTCTAGAGGAAAGAAACTTTGAGATACAAAACTAGACTGTCCCCACTTCAAGTTCGCCAGAGAAAGACTCAGGTTGCGATAGCTTGCATATTCAGAATAGTCTTTCATCAATTCACAATGCCTCGAGTATCTCTTCACCTCTGCCATTTTCTCTCTGAAACAAGCAGCAACAAAAACAGTCATGGCCCAAGATATTAAAAATAGCAGCATTTTGGAATGTGAGAGTTCCAAAATTGGATTCTAGAGTCCAGACGCAGCTCAAAGATGCTTTTAGCCAGGTAGTGAAAGAAAATGTCTCGGCGCTCAACCGATTCTACCCGTTTTAGTAGGCCATGTACATGGGAAAACTTTTCTAGGGAGTGCTTCAATTCTCATAAGATGAATTCAAGACTATGAACTGGATACCAAGACATAAACATGCTTTTTTAACAAATAATAGGAAGGATTATTCGATGACTAGGAATAATGGTCGTGGTCGTAAAAGGACAGCATCCAGTAGGAGGAAGAGGGTAGAGGGATTTATCTCCAGATACTCCAAAAGTCCGATAAATCACTGTTATGAATTGAAAGGTGGACCGCCCTGAGCATTATGAGGTATGCTTCCAAATTTCATTACAAGCTTTCTAAACAAAAGATTTTTTAATGGAAGAAAATTTAAGATGAGCATGTAAAGAAAAAGTAACAATAGTAGAAAACAGAAATCAGTCGAGGAAATACCATGAATAGGATTGCTACCATTTCCCTTCGTACCCTGCTGTGCCTGAGATGTTGCTCGCTGAATCCTCGGTGAACCCTGCCTTCCATTTGCACCAGGTAAGGAATGTCTCTTCTTGATGTGAATGTCTCTCTCTTGCACATCTGGACTTGATCTAGGTGAATTATTTGCATTGACCTTGGCTCTTGCAGATTCTGTTGCTTGCATAAAATGAGGAAGAGAACTACTGCTACCACTATCTCTTGGTTCTTGATCCATTTGCTCAGGTCTTGCTGAACCGAAAGAATTGCGTCTCTTCCCATTTTTCTGATCTTTAGGCAGTTGTTCTGTGCTACTTCTGGCACCAGAGTCATGATTTGGATTTGATGGAGATCTCTTACCTGCTGACAGGAACTTGCGTTTTTTATTTGAACTAGACTTGTCGGTTTTGCTCCTCTGGACCTTCAGTGATACCTGACTTGAAGGTGTTCCTTGTGATTCAGGAACTGTCATATGACTTCTAGGAGAAGCTTCAGGGGATGACCTGTATGATTGAGGATGCATCTGAGAGTCCACTTCTCTCTGAACATCAGACATGCTTCTCTCTGGCTTCTTCTCCATCTCTGAGTCTACAACAACAATTGAATCATCCAATTCCTCTTTGGTACAACCGAGTTTCTCTGCCTGATCCTCAACAGAGGGAAGCAAATTGGTCACAGGGTTAGCAGGAGCTTCTTTTACTTCAGTATCTAGTTTCTCTGCGCTCTGAGAATTAGATGTTTCTTGCATTGAAACCTTGGACTCGTGCTCATATTCTGTGGCTCCAACTTCAGATGTGTCAGGTGAATCAAGAGTGGAAGAAATAGAGAGCTCAGTGCCACATTCAGATCCACCATACTGAATCTTCATGTTATCAGGAGCATCTTCTGCAACGCTGAGCTTTTTAGTCTGGTTTGCAGTGTCTGTCTCTGATGATACTGCATATATTTTTGATTCCAGTACAACATCTTGATGGGATGAATCAACTGACCTACTTGAATTAGCTGCTAAACTGAGTTCTTCAAACTTTGACTGGGCAGCAATAAATGAAGGATTACTTCCCTTTCTTGTTCCAGGTGCCAACTTCTTTCCTTCAGTCTCCAGTTGTTCAGATGCAACCCTTTTCATAGATCGCTTGCCTTGCTCACTCTCTAATTCAGGCTCGTTAAGTGGAGAACTGAGTTCCGTTTGGGAAATTGTGTCTGACTGGATTGGTTGATTTAAATGAGAATTTATCTCAATGAAGGTCACTTTCAAGTCAGGTTTGTGTATGTTATCACACAAAGGTAGCTCTAGATTATCATTTTTGGAAGAATAAGCCGGACATGTCTGGAAATTAAACTTGTCCGCATCATACGTGATCATGTTCTCTTCACTTTCCAATGGCAAAGCAGTTTCCTTTTCATCAGCCAACTCATCAAAAGCATCAGAAGAGACTCCAACTTGGGAAGCAATTATTTCATTGTTCTCTTTTTGTTGTTGCTCTTTCTCTGTCTCTGGTTTTGTTGTCTGTTTTGCTGATGAAACAGACATCCATCTCTCTAGCCAGTTCCAAGCAGAATTTGGTTTTGAAGAATCGCACTTAATGTGGATTGATTTGGTCTTTGGTGTTGATACCATTAGCTTTAATTGAGAATGTAATATCAGAAAGGTCGGAGCAAAATGTAAGAGAAAATAAAAACTGTTGGAGAAATAATTTATAATACCTGACGAGCAAATCTATTGCTAAGCAGCTGCTCAATTGATAATGTGGATACTGCATTTGGTTTAACATCCAAGTTTGTCATCTCCTGGAAAAGAAAAAAGAATGAATGACAAGATATGATAATGATTGTCTAGAAAAGAAATGGCTTTTGTGTGCACAAAGTGCAGGCAGAGATTCTTCTTTTCCTTTTCCTTATGGTTAAAATCAAAGGCATTGGAGGTTGCCATTTACTACTTGACTCCAGGAAATTGTCATACATCACACTTCTGAAAAATACTTGGGTACAGAGATACTTTTAAAAGGCTTCGTAAAGAAATTCACCACCAAAATACTCTCTTTTGCTTGGGAAGCCACAAGGGAAGGATCCTTACTACTGACAGTCTCCAGAAAAGATGGAAGATTCAGGTGAATGGCTTTTATCCGTGTAAGAGCACAGCAAAGTCTTTGGATTATTTGCTCTTTTGCAGCCCCTTCTCCCCTTGCCTTTGGAGTGTTGTTCTTTTTCCTTAATTTTTCATGGATAACTGTTGGGTTGGGTTTGGGTGAGATTTGGGCTTGGGGAGGAAGGCTGAGGACACAAGTAAAAATGCTATCTCTTGTCCCCTTGGCTACCTTATGGCTGTGGATTATTTGGAACAACAGGAATCATAAGGCTTTTAGGATGTTGTCTTTTCTTTTGGGAGAGTGATCCAGACACTGTTTATTTTATTTATGGGTAATTCTCTCTCTTTTTGGGAGAATTACCTCCTAGACACTTCGACTAATTTATATATATTTGCTTATTCAGTACATGGGCAGAACACTCTTGGTGCCTTGTTTATCAATAGTTTTCCTCAGGAAAAGGTTTTGGAAACATATACAAATATTCAAAACATAAGATAAAGTTTCAACCTTACCAATATCCAAAAGGAAAAATACTTAAACCTTTAGCGAAGAGAAATTTTCAAAGTGAACTGACTTAACACGCCTATAGTCCTTATATAACTCGGCAAAATTTTCTAAGCAGTATCCTGCATAACTTTTTTTCCTAAACGAAAGAAGTATGAGAAGAAGGCTAACATGTAAAAGCCTCCCCAAGTTTTTCATAGAAAAGAAGACACAAGCCCTTCTTAGATGTGACCAGAAAACCCCCTTATCTGTTGAGGAACCAACACCAGGAGTAGCCTAGACAAGCCCAATTTTAGGACTGAACCCCTTCCTTCAGGGTTAGACGTAGGAACTTGCTAAGCACTCCTTCAAGAGGATAGTGATAGCCCACTTGAGGCAAGTCAATGCCAAGGGCTCATTTCCCAACATACATTAAGAATTATGGCTCCCTACAGTCAAAACTCTTAACCTGTCTGTTTGCAATGTCTCCACCTTTTGGCCACTAACTTAAGTAATATTCTCTTAATCGATTTTTCACATGTTAGGAACATATATAAAAAAAGGACTATGGTGCAATTAGCTTATAATACAGCCTAATAACTGAATATATGGACTTATTTTGTCCCCCTACACAAATATCAGTTAAGAAGTGTTACCGAGGTCATTGAATTATGACAGTCCTTTTCATGCTTCCCGTGAGAGTTTTCCATAGACATACGAGCACGGCGGGCACGGACAAGAGCTTGCATTTTGACAATGGCTTGGACACAACGCAATGTTCCCACAGCATGCCTCCGAACCAGGTGTCCACGTACAGCAGCTTGCAATTTAATCAGTTTCTTAAGCTTCAAAAGTTCTCTTTGAGCCTGCATAATATTTTTATCAAGTAAGATGGCTGATATGCAAGTAGGCCCAAGTTTCTTGAGAAGAAAGTACCAAAAACCCTCTGACAGCTGCCTGTATGACAATAATAGCAGACTCATCCAAGTTTTCAGCAACGGACTCCTCCAAATTGTCGTTGACTTTGCAATCTCCGTGACTTTCACTTACAGGGGCAGCAGCAGTATCGGATACATTTGAATCTACTGGAAGAGGAAACTGGGTTTTCTCTTCTGTACATTGTACTGTAGAGACTTTCTCAGTAACAGTAGAGTTATCTGCCTGTTGAAAGTTAGGAGCAGCAGATTCTGGACTTCCTTTGTTTCCAGAAGAAGCAGTTTCCGAGATTACAGAATTGCTTAGCACCCGATGTCTTGCAGATCTCTTCCGGAAACTCCATCCGCGCTTGTCACCAGAACTCTTGGTCTGAAATTTGAAGTAAAAATTATTCAACGGCAACGCCATGAAGAGAGAGAATATAAAAGATCTGTTAATACCTACTTGTACGTTCCTTGGTTAACTCCTGGTTAACTAGATTAACCAAGAGTTTCTTTCCAGTAACTTATACCTACTTGTATGTTCCTAGTAGCACAAGCAATGTCCAAATTAAAGTGACAAAAGCAATTTCAGAATAGAAACCATGATCACCAAATGTACTAAAATGTTCCATTTCCAACAGTATTGACTTCAAATCTAATTAATTGCCACTACAATCTAGTAATGAAATACTTGCAAGATCATAGAAGAAAAACTACTTTAGACCTTAATGATTAACAATCTACGTCCATAATCATGCTTTAATTCCAGGTAGAAACTAAAGCAAGCTTACTAGATTCAAACCCATTATTGCCACTAGCAATCATTACGATCTCCAAGTTACATGCTAATGACAAATTTCCCAGATCTTGTAAAAAAATAAAACAAAAATTTAGTACTCAAAAACAGAATCCACAAATTGTTACAGATAATACAAATTTCACCCTATAGTAAACGCAAACCAAAGACAGATTCCAACCTGAGGAATATGATATATAAAAGCAAAAATTAAAAAAAAAAAAAAAAAAAAAACACACGCGTATACATAACAGAATGGAAAAAAAAAAAAAAGAGAGACAGAGAAACGAAAGTCAACGAAATGTTGTGGAGAAAAACACAGAATCATTAACCAAACAGATACCTCAGAGACATCGAGTTGGTCCTTGTTGACAGAATCGCTCCCGCATGTAATGAGTTTGAAACAAGAAGTGGATCTTCCCATTTCTCGGTTGGCTCTCCTCCGCTCTCTCTCTCTCTCTCTCTCTCTCTTATCTAATTCTGTCCCTACCCAGAAGCGGACTTCACTCTCACTCGTCTGGGCTGTTTCTCAGGCAAGACAGCCTATATTGGTGCAGCACAGTAGTGTGTTGTGTTGGAAATTGTAGCAAAGGAAAGCGGACATCAAATCCAAACCTCAAATCAAGTTAATAATATTTTTGGAATCCGCCGCTGACGTCAGGTCCCGTTGCTGTTGCTGTTGCCGTTGCCGTTCGACAGACGAATAAAGAAGGAAAAGCTGTCGGATGCGTAAAATTTTTTTGCTTTTCATTTGTATATTATCCAGCCGCTACAACTTTCTTTTATCCGTCGTCGTTTTGTGGAAGTTCCGTTAGAAGTTCCGTTTATCAACTATATTTTTATTACTTCAGTTAGGACTTTAATTACAATTTCTTTTTTTTTTTTTTATTTTCTATTCACAAGTGAAAATGTCATTAATGCCCATGCTTTTGTTTTCTTCTTCTTTTTTTTTTTGTTTTTTCCTGCCAAACTCATTATTGAGTTCATAATTGGCCAATACAAACTACTGTTTCAATCCTAATAAAATAATATCACACTATTATTTGATTGATTTAATTAAATTCATTTTTCAACTGTGATTAATGAAAAAACTTTATGGTTAGATTTAAATTTGGGAATAGATAAGTGCATTTTATCTCTAATTATTGAATTAATTCTTATTCAATAGAAATCTAATTAGCCAATAACATACCTGCCAACATTTTGATATTGGGAACAACAAATATTTTATATTTTATATTTATATATAGACATAAAAAATAATACTTATACAAGAGTTCCACCAAAATTTTTATCAAAAAAATAATAATAAACTAGTTGACTTGATAGTCAATATTAAATATAAGTAACATATTTTCAGAATAAATCCTATACATGTAAATATTTAATTTATAAAGTTAAACTCATAATTTAATTAGAATTCAGCAAAATAATACTACAATAAAATTAAACATTTAAAATTTCTTATATTAAATTTAATTTTTTAAATAATAAAATTTTAAAATTTTAAAAATATACAGTTGATATTAGTCATCATTAATGTCGTTTGGTGCAGTTAGTATTGACGATATTAACCGATATTGATTACAAAATCTTCAACTAACTATTTATCTCATAATTTACAAAATCTACGCAAGAGAATTAATTGATGAAAGAGAAACATCATAAGAGTAGCACACTAATTAGTTTAGGCATAGACTAATACTAGCATTTTATTCAAATGACGAAAAATTCTTATTACATAATTGATTAAAAAATTTCGTGTAACTAACTTAAATAAAAATTAATCATATAAGTAAGTGGTGTGTGTATAATTATATATCAACTAATAATACGAACATGCATTTTGCAAATTTCACTTTATTAAATTCAATGTGTTTCAGTGATATAATTTCATTCAAATACTTTAACTGTAAATTGCAATAAAAATTTATATCATTTAGCAGCTCGCGAAGAGTTATTGAATAATGCAATATTACGTTATTTTGTAGTTGCTCAAGTATTAAGTATTTATATTTACAAATATTTATTTACGAATAAATTAATTTAAACACATATTAATAATAATGATCTTCTGATATCAAAATAATTTATATGTTATATGATAAAAGTAGGTATGTTTTAAGAGGTCTCCACTTCGGTTGCTTCAAATCCTCTTCTTAAATTTAAACATTTGTTTTGGAGACTTTGTAAAAATGTATTGTGAGTGGTGATTACAAAAAGAATTATCCATATATCATATATATATATGTGGGTGTGTGTGTGTGTGTGTGTGTGTGAGAGAGAGAGAGAGAAACATAAAAAATATTTTTAGAAGTTGTTTATATGTTTAAGTAGAAAATTTATCCTCCTTGACTAACATAGAGTAGTAGGTTGCCTGCTTTTGAGATCTAATAATGATTGAATAATTATTTGATTTTGATAGTATATAATATGATATTTAAAATAAAAATGGTTGTGTATGGTGCAGATGCATCATGTGCCGCTGGGATGCTGGGATCAAAGATGGGTATCGATCAATGTTTTAACCTTCCTATATATATATATATATACTCAAAAAAAGTATGAGTGATGTTAAAAGTTGTCTACCGTTAGATCAAGGACGCACCCAATTCTGAAAATTATTTTTTACCTTACAATATGATTTAAAAAGCACATAGATATAGATTAAACATATAAATATATGTTGGATAAAGTTATACTTTGTTATGATATGATAGTGGTCATAACTCGATAGAGAATCGAATAGTAAAATAAGAATAGTAATATTATGTAATATATAAGAATAAATTATAAAAACATTAGGTACTACCTAATAAAAATGCTCCAACAACAAATGGTATCAATTCATATTGGTTCATTATTGTCAAAAAAAAAAATGTAGTTGTTATTTGGTATATATGGGTCCTATATATATATATATATATATATATATTGCTTAGGATTCATGAAAGTTCATCCTTTTGAATGGGCCTATGTTTCCACCACCATGCACATGCTTCATTTGTCAATTTTTCCGGAAATAATCCATTATCATACGGATTTTGGAAACAAACACCCAACTTTTTTACTCACCACGTGGCTGCATGGGACCCCTTCGCTTTATTGTCCCCATTATATATATATATATATATATATGTATTCGTTGAATATAATAGCCATTAAATATATAATGCTAAGAACTGTAATGATTGAGATTTAGAAGTATTTGAAAGATAATAAATATAATTTTTACGTCCACCATGATTTGGAAATGAAAATAAATATCTCGTCAAAATTTAGACCTAAACAAAGCTTGAGTGCAATAGAATTTTGTGACGACCACCTTACTCCGCTTAATAATCAATCAAACTGACTTCGAACTGTTATTTATGTTTCTGTACAGAAAGAAGCTTATGGGCTCCCGTGTCTTGGCCGAAAGAACACTTTTCGGTTCCTACTGGTCTGACTATCTCAAGCACACAATCAACCATAACTCCTCATGGGTGACTTTGGTGTAATTTTAAAACCAGAAGAAAAAATAAGTTAAAGTCTCCACCGTTCTACTATCCTTTTTTTTTTAATATATAATGAACTCTCTAACTTTAATTGAAGAGATCATTGATGGCCACCTGCAATGAGGGAAGGAAGGCTTGTTGAAGTTGTACCTTCAGTGTTGGCCGGTTGGAAATAGGGCGAAACACCCATTGCCTTGTGGGGGAGATGACAATACCAACTTTTGAGATGGAGTAGTTAGGACATCGATGTATGAAACAGAGAATTATAGCTGTAGTAGAGCTTCATAGATGAGTTCATACTAGAAATTGATCCAGAGTTCATCTCCAGATGTTAGGGGTAAGAAGGTACTTTGAAGAAGAGAACTAACTGAAATTGTTTTCTACTAACTAAAATTATTTTTTATATTAGGTCTTCTCGTATTAGAAGGTTGAAATGAGGCTGAGTTTGACAAGTAACATGGGACATTCAAAACCGAGATAAAACAAATGGAAACAAGATATTAAAAGCTATATATTAGCATCTTTTTGGAGTTTGTTTATATATATATATATATATTGCTTATCTTAATCATTTGTACTCTTTTTTTATTTTGAGATGAATGGTATTTCATGACATAAAATTGTTCGTATTCTCGTGACTTCTTCTTTTATATGTTTTTTTCTTCTTCGGATCGTTTTTTAATTGTGTGGTTTAGATGGCTGCTTCATCAGTTTTGTTTTGTGGACTTTTGTTATCCAGCGACACTGGCTTGGAAATAGGTTAGTTGGCACTGTTACGTGCTCTCTCATTCTGATAAAATGAGTTATTTATACATTGAAAAGAAAAGAAAAAAAAAAAAAAAGTGACAGAGAAATTAACCCAAAGAAATTAATTACTGAGAATATAGAAAGCACTAAGCAACTTTCCTAGAATCACCAATTCATCACAAGCTTATAATCCCTCTCAACTCAAATCACTGCCACTTTTTACCAAGCATGGTAGACTCAAATAGATTAGCAATTATAAATAAATATATCAGGCTAGAATTTCATAATTCAAATAAACCTGTAAATCTACAAGTACACCTCTCACAGTCGGGAGAGCAAAATTTCCAATTTTGGTTTGGATGTTAACGTTATTTATGACTTTCGGGGCCGTCCTCTTTTACCAGCTTTCACTGAAGTAGCCTGCTTGACCTTGTTCACAGAGGGCTGGCCTCGCCCACGCCCAGTAACTTTCCCTTCCGCTGTGGATTTCTTTGTCGTCTTGCCTCCACGACGTTGCCTCTTACGTGACTTTTGGCTGTTGACATGTTCATCACTGCTCTCACTGTCAAAACAGTTCTCTTCTTCCGATAATTCTTCATCTTCCTCATCCTCGGAATCAGATGATTTTTTCGATTTCTTCCTCTTGGAGTTACTAGATGGTTTGGCTGCACTTCTTTTTGGAGTTTGTTTTGGGGCAGGAACTTTGTTCTCGGCTCCCTCACCCACTGCATGAAGGTTCACAAGTTACTGTAACAACTTCATAAATAAATTTGGAAGGCCTTCTTCAATAGCCTTAACAATAGGTGCTGTGAGCCTTATGCTTGCTTAAAAATGAACCAAGTGCTGTGAATCTTTACAACTAGTGCTGTGAGGCTTACACTTGCTTAAAAATGAACCAAGGCAGTAAAAAGCCCCCCAAATCACCCCCCATAGACTGTGCTATACAATCAAACAAGGTTCACCAACTGGAGTGACTTGTCTGAACATGTACAAATCATACACCAGACATAACACTGCAAGGATGTATCCTACTATTAAAGAGAAAACTGAATAAACACTACAACCCAATACAACGTACCTTCACCATAAACTTTCCCATCATAGATATCAAGCTGTCAAAAACATATAACATTAAAATCAATTGTAGTACTTATAATAAAAAGTAGCAGCTGATTCAAGATTAAAAAAACAAATCAAACCTGAACTTAAACTGTCTCTAAACAAAAGATAATGCCTCTTTACATTAAAATGGAAGCAGAATGATTTAAATGTTAAGTATGCAAGGAAAAGACCACCATGTTTTTTCATGTTGGCATGTTCTTTATCCAGGGTTTGTACTTTTTCAAATTCAGAGAAGTAAATCATTACCAGATTAGTTTGTTCTCCCCTACTGATTACCAGTCTCAAATTCCATGAAGAAAGATTCTAGATTCTGCAGTTCTGTCTTAACTTTGTAACCAACTTTTAGTCGGATGTAACTGAAGACTGATCTGGAATTGATACAAGAAAAGAACCCCAATCCACAACAATCACTGGCATCAATTATGGAAGCAGAAGCTTCAAGGGGGACAAACAATTGCGCAAACATATGCATATGCCAGTCTGTGTCTGATATGTGCACATTTATTTATATAATATATGTCATTTGAATCAATCTTACAGAACAATGTGTCTGAACTAGCTGACGCTCTATTCAACATCCTCAATAAAGCTAATTTTCTAGTCCTGAAACTGCAGGGTTCTAAAGAAAGTAAGTCCTTGAGCATCTGGCCTAGAATAAAAATTCAAGCAACCATTTGATGGATATGCCAATCTGTGTCTGATATGTGCACATTTATTTATGTAATATATGTCCTTTGAATCAATCTTACAAAACATGGCATCTGAACTAGCTGATGCTCTATCCAACATCCTTGATAAAGGTAATTCTCTAGTCCTGAAACTGAAGGGTTCTAAAGAAAATCCGTCCTTATGCATCTGGCCTAGAATGAAAATTCGAGCAACCATTTGAAGTGCGGTTCACTCAAAAAGCAAACTACACACATTTACGCATATATTTTTATGTTCAAGTTCATTAATATTTCATATTTTTATAATAATTTCTGTAGATAGTCACCTAAATTGAGTCTCATTTATAATGTTATTTAATCTCTAAAGATTACTTGTTCAAATCAGATTTATATTCAGTTAAGATCCAAGTCTCTTTTTCTGGCTGGCAAGGTTCTAAGTTTTTACGTTGAAAAAAAAATGAAAACAAAACAAAAACAAAAAGGTTAATTTGTCATGTAAAATTTTCTAGAAATCTCAGTTTCTTTGTGTAATTGTAGAAGAGGTTTTTGGTTTCCGTTGTAATGCAATCCCTTCGGGGCTTGAATTCCTGCTACTTGCCACCCTGGGGACTAGCTCAATGACTAGAATAGAATGACTTGAATATCCTCAACTCAATAAGGGACTACCTAAGAAGACTGAACTCTCTAGTTGCTTCTCCCTGCTATAGCTTCGGGGTATATAAGTTCACGTAATTATACAATTTTTGGATTGTTACTGAAAAAACAAATAGCTTTGAAGAAGCTACGCTTTTCATGTTAAATAGTATTGTGTTGAATATTCTGTGTTGAATAATCAGAAGCACCCACTACTAACAACCAGTAAGCACACCACCACTGGCCCCTGCATCATTTCTGCAAGCCTGTAATATTATTTACCAATACTAGTGGGTTACCTGATCAAGCCTGTCAACAGCATTTGCTCTGTCAACTATAACCATTGAATGACCGAATCCACATGCAACACTACAATCAGAAGTACCAATTGTCATACAGTATTAAATAGGATGTTAAGGACATGTTTATCAACAATCTTCAAAAAGTACTTACCCAATAACATGCATACCCTCAAGTATATCTACCTTCTTGGGGATAGCTGAAGACCTGAAAAGTGGAAGGAATATTAAAACAAATATAAAATCAATGAGGGAGAAGATTTAGAAAAGAGAGAAACCGTACTTCTGACCATTGGGGCCATATCCCAGCTCTCCATATTGAGCGTGGCCCCAACTTATGCAGGAGTTATCAGCACCAACAAAATGGTGCATGTTGCCAGAATCCATACAGCGAAGATTCCAACCACTATGAAGCAAAAGCAACAAAGATGCTTACATAATTATGCTCATTAAATAAAATTTATCCAACTACATTTGTTAAGCTTAAGGTTGGACGAAAAGTAACATCTTAATTCGAATCCAATCAAACACAACATAATAGAACAAAAGCCTCAGGAAGTTATCAAGAATATGAAGACTCAACCAAATAAATCACATAATTCATAAAGCAAACTGGTATGAAATAAAGGATAAGCAGGGCAAGAATTAGGAGAAAAGCTGAAAAAGAGATATCTCAGGAAATCTGAGAGCTTATTCTGCCAAATAAAAAAAGGAAACGGTATAAGCTCAAGTTAATAAGAACCTTAAATCCATTAGAGGTTTAGGATACATCCAGTCATCACCAGTGTTCTTTATTTTTCCCCACATATACAACTGTCCGCCTCCTGAAAACCATAGAAAATTCAGTGGTCAAATTCAAAATTTTTAATGAGAAACAATAGGACTATGAAACCCTCAGTAATCAATTCCTGATAACTTCAAAATAGGCTGCAACTTATTGCTACCATGATTTAAGTTATATTGCTAAAAAATCCCTTGAAAATGACTCTGCCTATATTAGGACAAAAAGAGTCCCTTGAAAATGATTACTTTCATACAAAGGAAATTTCTCATAGCTTGCTTGCCAAATACACAGATTCCTTTTTACTTTGTACTAAAAGGAATCATTTTCACTGTTCAGCATGAGCAAGCCAATCCTATGATTCCCTATGATGCTATGCCATTGCTACAATGCATGCATGTCAGCAGGGAAGCACAATATAGGATGCTGGTGTGGATTTACCATTAGAAACACGGGGCAAGCAGTTCAACGATAATAGATAATGCTCAAAAAAAAAATTGAAACATGTTCTGCAACTCAAAAGAATTTTAACTATTTGTCAGTAAAAGATCTACTGTATAGAGACAGAAAGAGAATCACAGTTCAAACTAATTAACAAATTCCATAATAGAACTCATGCTCAACCAATAACTATTCTCATGAAGAGAGAGAAGGTCAAAACAATTTTTTCCAACAAAAACTAAATCAGAGAGATGAAACCTACAAACATAACCTACAAGCCCCAAGGCACTGAGGTATGTCCGAGGCATGAAATATGATGATGCACGCACCTCACTTGTCGAGAAGTGAGCCCTGTATAGTACCTAATGAGATAGTCAATTTTCAGAGTGGTTCAGGGTGGACAACTCATGCACCTGTTATAATAGACTATTGTTAAGAAAATGACTCTTACGCAATCAGATTTTAATTATTGAGATGGGCATTTTAATTTCAAAAGAATGGGTATTGCAAACAAGTAATGGGTATAAAATTGGCCTTTCCAATGTTTGCCTTTCGATATATACCTCCTCATGCTGCTAGCCACTTTTCCCTCCATTTTATTTTTACTATTATTACAAATGTCATGACATCAAAGGAAAATAATGGTCAACAGCTGAAAGAATCATGTAAATTCTGTAGCAAAACTTGAGAAATGGATAATAGTTATTATAGTTCACATGCGTGGTTAACATACATACCAGCAGTACATGCAGAGTTAACAGAACCAGCAGAAATAACTGCATCAGGAGGCAGAGTATTTTGCCTCTGAAAAATATCAACCCGACGGGGAAGCCACTCATCTTTCTGCTCTCTATGTCCAAGCCTACTCAGCCACCAAGAGTTGTGAGGATAATAAGTTGAAACAGACAAGATAGAACCACACTTGTAGAAAAGGTCTCATTTATCTCTTTCTGACATTTAAAAAGCATAATAGCTGACCAAAGCTGCACACCAAAGAGCTCAACTTGACAAGTACTAACCTTCCATATCCACCAAAGCCCCACCTAAGATCATTTCCACCACAAAGATTATTACTTTCCATTGTTAGATATGAGCACAAGGCAAAAACATTGCTTATTGAATCCATAATTGAGTTACTTACGTGTAAACAAAGCCATTTTTATCCACAGCCACTGCCAAAAATGAAGTGGGCAACATGACTGTGTTGAATAGGAAAGAACAGGAAAGGACAGAAAAAGAGTAGTTAATTTTGAACCTGTATGGTTTGTTCCACATGCAACTTTGACAATAGTTTCCCCAGAAAGAGAAGCTATAGCTCTAGGGCGTGGTTGGGCTTCATATGCAAGCCTCACTGAGCTGTCCTTTGTATTATACTGCATGCGAAATACCACCATGTGAAGGTTCAGAAGCAAAATAAACAAAAACAGTTTAACACAAGGTGGCTGCTGTATACCACCATTCACTAAGGGTTTGCAACTTAAGCCTTCCCAGGCCAAGGCTTAAATTTTTTATCAACTTGATCAAGCCAAAATTAGAGTAAGTTTGATACAATATCCATGTCAGACAATTCTCAGACCCATTCGCAAACACACAGGACTTCTAAGCAGTGAACACAAATTACCCTTAGACATGCATCAAAAACTTCAGAGATATCAACTGTAGCACATACTACGGTACAGCTCATGAGAAGCAAAAGGATGAATTATTTAGCAGATAGAACATTAGTGGATATGATTTTCAAGCATTTTCCCTTCAAACTATAAATTCAATAAGAAACAAACATGGCAACATAAATAATAAACCATATCGCCACTGCATTAACACTGGGTATGTAATAATGTCAGGGCCCTAGGTCATGACTCAATTGATGAGCTTGAGATGCAGAAATTGACAGATTCAAATGAAAGGATACTCAGGAAGGAAAGTATTATTTGAAAGAGATTTTGGGAAATTTCAACATATTGTTCTCATTGCTTGTCCCAAATAGCAGTACAACCTTCCTTTCTATAATTCACCCACCCAACTAATATATGCCAATTTATACAAATGCTGACAAATTATAACCAACTTTTGTTGCTCTGAAAGTACCTATGCAACACAATTTAAGTTAAAAGCAAAAATGAAAGAATACAAAGTAAAAGCAACAATGAAACAGAGAATAGAAAGAATCTTAATGTGGTCTGCCAATGCACCTATTCCATGGAGCCACCTGCAGAAACTTTTCACTATTGGGAACTGCTTTTACAGCTAGGAGTTTCTCTCTATATGGTGGAATGAGAAAACCCATTTTTAATAGAATGACCAGTTATAATAAAAAAGCGATCAAGGCCCAAAAACTACTATGTCTAATGCAGAGGCATTGCCACCCACCCTGCCCAATGAACCTGTAACAACTGCAATTAGATAAAACAACAATTCATCAGTACTTTGGAATTGGGGGTGTTGTGCGAATCTACACCACTTTAACAAGATCTAATCATGAACACTAAATTCTCCTAATACGAACCCGACTAAACATTCGCCACCTTGGAAAATATTCACTCCCAAAAAGAAAACACGGATCTCACTTCTACCTTAGGCTCCCATCTTTCTTAAAAAAATAAAAAATATAAATTTTATCAATAAATATAAAGCATCAAGGGGTGCAAACACATGTTAAAAATATTTACATGTCAATAAGAGTATCAATTAGTCCTTCTAAATTCTCCACGAAGTACAACATTGACACATAACCAATACACCAAGGATCTTGAACCGTCTCTCTCGAATTCTATCAATACCCTCTTCCACCCCATCAAAAACTCTCATATTTCTTTCTTTCTACACTACCTGAAATATTGTCAATAGAATATGCCCCAAATGTTGTCTGACCAATAATACCCTTCCAAACCCATATCTCCTCTTTAATAGTACCATCCATAACCCAACTGTATCCCAGAATCCCATATGTCATATACCATAAACTATATGTCATGGGGCACTGAAGCAGAATATGGTCACAACTCTCCTACTCTCTTTTATATAAGCAACACCAGTTAACCATGATCTTCCCCCTTCTCGTTAGCTTATCGATGGTCAGATACAACCACAACTACTTCCCATGCCAAAAATGCTATCCTTGAAGGGGCATTCACCTTCCTTATTTGTCTAAATGGAAAATGTCCTCGATTGGTTCTTTTTTGGGCCAGTATCTACAGAAAGATCATATAGCGAATTCCCTAGTACATTAAGGGTCCATATAACCAATTGGTCATAATCCTCGTTCAGCAAAATTAATGTAAATGAGCTCAAGAGAAACTTATATTAATTTATTTCCTTAATCATTGAGATTCCACATAATGTCCACATGCCATTCCTTACTTCCCGTACGTTCTCCAAATGCCTCTTTAACATAAATGTCTTTACAACACGTACGAACAAAAATCTATGGAAATCTGTCAATGCTCCACCTTCAAGCCAAATGTCATACCAATATCTAATCCTCTCCCCATCTCCAATTCTCCAATTAACACATTCCTGAAATTTTTCCTTTCTTGTGCAAATCTTTTTCCACAGCCCTTTACCATGAGGCCTAACCAAAACATTGAAGTACCATCATGCCAAACTTCTCCTCTATAATTCTCCTCCATAGAATGCCTCTTTCTTTCATAAAACGCTACATCCACTTCCCCTCAAGTGCATCATTTATCTCAACAACATATCTCAAACCTAATTTGCCCTAATTCAGTGGTCTTTCAATTGTATCCCATGCCACCAAGAGATATTTCCTTCTCCCCACTCAATCATTCCAAAGGAAATTGCGTGAATTGCTTCTAATTTCTAGGCGACACTCATAGGGATATATAGTAGACAGGAAGATTGGACAACATGCTTCTTACGAGAGTTAGGTGTCCACATTTGGAGACTAAATTCTTACAAGTCGCCTCTCAAATCTAGCAACAATAGGGTCTCATGTTCTCATATTTTTGTAATTACCAACCAAAGGCATGCTCAAATATATAATTGGTGAGTCCACTACTTTGCATCCTAAAGTCTTTGTTAATCTGCTAGTATTACTTCTGTTTCTCAATGTTACCATCTTAGACTGTGTAAGATTTATGTTGAGGCTAGAAACAACTTGAAAATAAAGCATAACATATCTAAGGTTGAGTAGCGAGCTCTCTTCTGGTTGACAAAGCACAAATGTGTTATCAGCAAAAAGTAAATGTGTTACTTCCCCATATGTCTCTCCTTCAACCGTCTTGAATCCTCTAAACAAATCTAGCTCTCTAGCTCTCAATAGCAACCTATTCAGCATTTTATTGCTACTATAAACAATATGGGAGATAGCAGATTTCCTTAATACCTCTTGAGCCTTTAAAAAATGTCAATGGGCCAACATTCACCATAACCGAGAAAGAAACTATAGTGATGCAAGCATTGATCAACTTCCTTTATTTATCTCCAAAGCCCACTCTCATAAGCATGTAATCAATAAAATCTTCATTTACATGATCATAGGCCTCCTCCATGTCAAATTTACACAATACCCCATCTCTCTTCCTAAATAGTTGATCATCCAACAGCTCGTTAGTCACAAAAACCATAACCATGATTTGTCGTCCTTCTACAAACGCATGTTGACACTCCACAACCACTGAACTTATTGGATGGAACCCCTTAATACTAGCCACTCCCTCCACCTTGGCAATTGATACTACGAATGTAGAGTTGACAGAATTCACAAAATTTCCAACCCCGTGTGCAATTCCTTAAATAGCTCCACAATGTCCTCTTTCATCAAATACCAAAATTTATCTAAAAACCCATGTTAAAACCGTCAAGACTAGGGACTTTATCCTTTCCGTAAAAAAACTTAGGCTCCCATCAGAAAAATAACTTCAACAGCAAACAACATGAAGTAGGCTCAAATGTATTTGCATTTCTTCATAGACAGCACCTTTATTAGCATACTTGTGCGAAGCCCGTCCCCTTACTAAGACATAATTGTGAAAAGTAATTTTTTAAATATGAGGTACAACTCAATTATTGTAACTAATTAACAATCATAATACAAATTACAACTCCCTAGTTCCTATAATTATCCTTCACTAGAAAACTATCCTTGTCAAGGATATTCATCAAGACGCACAACTCAATGAAGCTCTTGTGTAAAGGGTTGACCCAACTTTTTAAGATTGGACTGCATTTGGAAGATTTCATAATGATCAAAAGGTATGCACCATTCCTTCCTACAATGTGAAACATCGTATTTGAAAAGCCACTCAACTTTTCTCAATTTCTCAAAGCAGCCACTTGAAAAGAAGATACAACCATGCCAAAACCCAAAAAGAAAATCTCCAACATCAAAAACTTTTTTAGTTGATTTCCTAGACAAAGCTACCAACATTGATTCCTTTAAAACATATTTCCATTGTTGGTAAATCACTATAGTCCTTAGCACCCATGAAATTAGAAAGCCGAAGTTTGCTTGGACTAATTCCTGAAATCTTTTCAAAAGTGGAGACGTTCCATTATCCCTAATGAGATGGCACAATTTTGACATTAA